TATGTACGTTTTTGCGTAATTAATTGTTTTGTGGTGACCGAAACTTTTGTCCAGGGAGTGTATCATCATTTTCATGTTGAAAATAATTATCTAAAGTATTTGATGTTTCTTGGTCGGATACCATTATTTTAAAGTAATAAATTTTTACTATAAAAATATCCCATACACAAGTAATATATCACATGGTAATAAATACAAAAAAAAATTTAATTATTTTCGCGGAAAGGTTATTTAATAGGCGGGTTTAATTATTAAATCATTTGGATCATCATTATTAAATTGTTAGTGTTAATACATAACAATAATTAATGCCAATACTGACATTAATTATTGATAAAAATATATGCTTTATGAATCCTTAGTTACACAAACTGTTTGCACATTTTATAGTTTCGGCACATAGATTTAGTTTCAAATAATTATGCCTAAAGTTTCGGCATTTTAATTTGCCGAAACTATTGCCGAAATTTAGTAGTTTAGGCAAACTTTTATAGGTTGAGTTGTGTACAAGTTTGATCGACAAATAAACAAAAAAAATAGATCGATTTGTAATCGCCGTGCAACACTTTTAATTGATAATAATAAAAATGATATTTTATAAAAAATTTACATTAATATTATGCTCAACATTAATATTAACTGGATTTTATTATGATAATTTAGTATATTCAAATTATATCGCTCATTTTGAAATACCTCTCCATCAAAAACAAGTAAAAAAATTAGCAATAATTGGTAAACAAGTCAAAAAAATATAAATATCTTTTTTTTTTTTCAAATAAATAAATTGATATATTTAAAGGTCAATTATCATCATTTTAGGTGCGGGAGCTGGTGGTTCTTCAGCTTCTTATTGGTTGAAAGAAGCATTTACCAATTCTAGTTTAAATGTTAATACAACAGTCTATGAACAATCATCAATAGTCGGTGGACGTGCTAAAACCATTAAATTTGAATATAATGGAGAAAAGTTCAATATTGAATTGGGTGCAACATTATTTATTGATGATAATTATAATATGTTTAATTCAGCAAAAAAATTTGGATTGGAATTTATTAAGCCTGATGAAGAAGTACCTGATGCAAGATTCGGAATGTAAGTTTCAATAGATTAATAGTAATTAATTAATTAATTAGAAAACTAAATTACAAAAATTGGTTATATTTGTTATTAGATGGACTGGTGAAAAATTTATATTTGAAGAATCATCTAATTCTTATTGGAACTTGATAAAAATAATATGGAAATATGGAATTGCTCCATTTAAAGTAATTGTTTCTTTGTAAAATGATAAAATAATAAATAATTATAATTATAATTATAATTTATTATTTATTATTTTTTATCATTACTTTTTTTGTTTAAAAATATAGGTTAAAAATTTAGTTAAAGAAACCATAAAAGCATTTTTAGGAATTTATGAATTTGAAAAACCATTTACAAGTATTGAATCTGCAGCAAAGCGTCTAAATATTCATTCACTACAAGCACTTACGGGTGATTATTATTTTTCTGAAGTCAAAAAAATAAATAAAAATTACATTTACGATTTTATTGAACCAGCTGTACGTGCCAATTATGGACAAAATATAAGTGATATTCATGCAATGGGAACCTTTATTAGTTTGGCACCTCAAGGAGCAAAAGGAATTAAAGGAGGAAATTTTCTATTATTTGAAAAATTCATTGAAAATTCAGGAGCAAATCTCCAATTAAATTCCAAAGTTATAAAAATAAAAAAATTACCAGAAAAATCATCAATTGATACTATAAATAGCTCAAAATATTTAGTTTATACTAAAAGTGGAACTATTGAAGAATACGATGGAATTATTTTAGCAACCCCGATTGTAAAGTATCTTTTACTTTTATTTTTATTAATTGATTAGTAATATCTATGTTTATTTACATTTATTTATTTAACTTTAGCAATTTTCAGGGATAACTTTTGAAAACATTTTTAACATTCCAAAAATTCCAAAAATCCCGTATGTAACACTTCATGTAACATTAGTTATTGGAAATTTAAATCCTAATTATTTTGGTAAAAAGTCGTTTGATGATCTGCCATTACAAATTTTAACGACGAATGGTCCAAAGGTGGATTTTTTAGTTCTTGGAACAAGAAAAAGATTGGATAACGGAGAAACAGTTAATAAATTTTTTACCAGAAATCATTTATCTGATGAAGTTTTAAATAAAATATATTTGAACAAATCTTGGATTTATCGAAAAGTTTGGAAATCTTATCCAAAATTATTGCCAAATCAAACATTCCCGCCTTTGGAAATTGACGAAAATTTCTTTTACGTTAATAGTTTCGAGCCATTTATTTCTGTAAGTTGTTTAATTTATCATGATTTTTTGAGAGATTTATAAATAATCTTTTATTTGCCTTTTTATCAGACCATGGAAACTGAAACTGTTTCAAGCAAGAATATCGTCGACATAATAACAAAAAAATTTTCACCATAATCAATGTTTCACAGTTCAATTTTTAGGGGTATTTAAATAATATCAATTTTCAGGGAGTTATTATCAAAGTCGCGCGTTGGTTACTCGTTATCTAAAAATTGTTCAACTATATAATTATGTTTTTCCCTAAAACAGATTTTTTATTGTTTTTGTTTTACGTGCGTGCATATAATAAAAATCTCCTAAATTTATTATCATTAGATTTTTAATTACAAATATTTGCGTATAACAAATCAATGAACTTCAATGTGACACACTTTATATTGACACGAGAATATAAAATCGTAAATTTTTCGTTCACATATTTTAATTCTTACAAACCTTCTCTCTTTGCTTTTATTTTTTTTTTTCTATTACTAGTATTCACCATCATCGTCATCATATCATAATCACCATTACCTTTCAATCCTTTTTGTCTAATACTAGTAGTATTATATTTCGATCCTTTTTTTTTTTTTTTTTTTTTAAAAAAATCCAAATCGTCAAATAGAAAAATGAATAATTTTCACTCATTTTCACTGGTTTTTTTAATCATAATGTTAATATTGGAACACCAATTTATATATTCTGTTCCAATTACTAAGAACCGTCAACCAAGCATTAAATTGGTAAAAAAAAACGCCGCATTAACTTATTATTGGGATGTGTTTGAATCAGATTATCCTGGATCTAAAACAGTTGAACTCAAAACTTGCGACAACCACAAAAGGATTGCTATTGTTAACGCGAGATTTTCTAAAGATATCCATCTTGTAATTATTATTATACATTAGTTTTTTTTTAAAATTCTAACAATTTTATTTATTTTTATTTTTTATTTTTTATTTTTATAATTTTTAGGAAGGTTCGGGTATTTTAAGTGATGGAAGGGTCGTAAATCTTGGCAGTTCTAATAAATGTTTTGAAGTTATCAACAATAAGAAATTTCCTTTTGGAGCTGGAGAAACTGGTAATCCACTTGAGCCATTTATAACACTTGCTGCTAATGATTTAAAACCTGGTACTAAGATATATCTTAAAGAATTTGATGGCTTACACTTACCAGTCAACAATAAAACTCATAACGGATGTTTTAAAGTCGGAGATACTGGTTTTAGTTTTGGTAACAATCATATAGACGTTTTTGTTCTCAAAGAAAAATTTTACAGAAAAATTGATGCAAAAATCAATCGAGAAAGGATTGACGTAGTTACTAAAGATTGTAAATTATTAAATTATGGACCTTTTATATAAAAAAGTATCCAACTAAGGAACTTTTTAGAAGCGGGATATTTACTTGTAAAGTTATTTTGTATTTAGAATAATTTGATCTTTAATAAAAACGTTAATACTTTATCTATCTAGTTATTTTAATTTTTCTACGAGTTTTTACTTTGCGAAATATTTTCATCTGGATAATAATCATTTAACAAAAAATTAAATTCGCAACCAGCCAGAAACGGAAAGGAAACACATATTGCAGACCGGGGTAAAATTTATGTAAAATTTTCATCGCGTCCCAACACAAAATATTATATGATGCTTCATTAATAAAATTAGCCACAAACCTTAATTTTAACTCTATTTTGCCCAGCAATCTCCTCCAAATTTGAGACACAGATTTTTTAAGACTTGTTCCTTCTTTTTAAAAAAAATTAGGAGAGATTATTAATAAAATAGTAAAAAATCTTGGTGTTAAAGTTTGTCAACCA